ATGAACTAGAACTGAACTAGAACTGAACTAGAACTGAACTAGAACTGAACTAGAACTGAACTAGAACTGAACTAGAACTGAACTAGAACTGAACTAGAACTGAACTAGAACTGAAACTAGAACTGAACTAGAACTGAACTAGAACGAACTAGACTGAACTAGAACTGAACTAGAACTGAACTAGAACTGAACTAGAACTGAACTAGAACTGAACTAGAAACTGAACAGAACTGAACTAGAACTGAACTAGAACTGAACTAGAACTGAACTAGAACTGAACTAGAAAACTGAACTAGAACTGAACTAGAACTGAACTAGACTGACTAGAACTGAACTAGAACTGAACTAGAACTGAACTAGAACTGACTAGAACTGAACTAAGAACTGAACTAGAACTGAACTAGAACTGAACTAGAACTGAACTAGAACTGAACTAGAACTGAACTAGAACTGAACTAGAACTGAAACTAGAAACTGAAACTAGAACTGAACTAGAACTGAACTAGAACTGAACTAGAACTGAACTAGAACTGAACTAGAACTGAACTAGAACTGAACTAGAACTGAACTAGAACTGAACTAGAATGACTAGAACTGAACTAGAACTGAACTAGAACTGAACTAGAACTGAACTAGAACTGAACTAGAACTGAACTAGAACTGAACTAGAACTGAACTAGAACTGAACTAGAACTGAACTAGAACTGAACTAGAACTGAACTAGAACTGACTAAACTGAACTAGAACTGAACTAGAACTGAACTAGAACTGAACTAGAACTGAACTAGAACTGAACTAGAACTGACTAGAACTGAACTAGAACTGAACTAGAACTGAACTAGAACTGAACTAGAACTGAACTAGAACTGAACTAGAACTAGAACTGAACTAGAACTGAACTAGAATGAACTAGAACTGAACTAGAACTGAACTAGAACTGAACTAGACTGAACTAGAGAACTGAACTAGAACTGAACTAAAATTGAACTAGAATTGAACTAGAATTGAACTAGAACTGAACTAGAACTGAACTAGAACTGAACTAGAACTGAACTAGAACTGAACTAGAACTGAACTAGAACTGAACTAGAACTGAACTAGAACTGAACTAGAACTGAACTAGAACTGAACTAGAACTGAACTAGAACTAGAATTAGAACTGAACTAGAACTAGAACTGAATTACCTTCAAAGAAATAATTCTTAAAAATATTTATTATAAATAGGAAATTTATTAAAACTTTTCTTTCAAGTTTTTCTATAACGGATTCAATACTTTGACTTGTTTTTCAGTAATAAAAATAAACTTTTATAAAATTGAATAACTTTTCCTTTTACATTGCACTTTAAGAGTTATATCTGTTAAATATTTATTTGTTGCTTTTGCTTCACAAAAAAACATAATCATCTGCTTAAAAAAGTAAAAGTAATAACTTTTGTTTTGTTTAAAGTATTTGCCCCTATAAGTAGGCCATGATTTGTTTAGTATTATTTTTATGTAGAGCATGAATGTGTGTGGATGAGGGTATGAGTTCAGTTGCGTATGAAATTTTAAGGCATCTATATTTTATAGGTTTTCCTTTATCTTTGTTTGATATTGAATTTTTTATTTATTTACTTACGCTATCGCATCAATCATATCCAATCCCATTTCAACAGCACAATGAGCATGATCCGGTCTAGGTTCTGGTAACCCTGAGACACAATAATAACAATCACCCAATAATTTAATACGTAAACAATGATGTTCGGCGGCCAATCGATCAAATCTGTTGGAAGGATGGATGAAAAAGAAGAGATAGAAAAAAAGTGAAAATTTACAGATGAACGCATACAGACAAATAGAAAACAGTTATATGTGTACATATACACTCGCATACATCTGAATAAAAATAATACTCACAAAGGATTTGAAATCCTGATATGTTTACTTGTGTGTTCGTATGTGTGTATCTGTTTTATAATCTTGTTATATATGTTGGGAATTTTGTGTTTGGATTAGAACAAATCTATTTGAATTATTTGCATACAAACAAATAATACCGTTAGAATTACATTATGGTATGCACACACAGTGAAAGTTTTAACACACTTGCCTTTACATTCCTTTCAGGGCATTTATATTTAAAATTTGAAAACTTTTGTGTTAAAGTGCTTTGTTATGGTGAATTATTTGTATTATGATAGAAAAGTTATTGATTTTTCGTAAGATTGTTCATAATTTACCATAATAAAGGGTTAATTTAAAGATCTTTTATGTAAATTATATAACGTATTGTTATTTAAGATGTTGCGTAATATTATATGTATAAGTACTTCCCAGCAAAAACTTGCATTGAAAAGTATTAACATTTGTATGCATTTTAACTAACGAGAACTGAACAAGAACTGAACTAGAACTGAACTAGAACTGAACTAGAACTGAACTAGAACTGAACTAGAACTGAACTAGAACTGAACTAGAACTGAACTAGAACTGAACTAGAACTGAACTAGAACTGAACTAGAAACTGAACTAGAACTGAACTAGAACTGAACTAGAACTGAACTAGAACTGAACTAGAACTGAACTAGAACTGAACTAGAACTGAACTAGAACTGAACTAGAACTGAACTAGAACTGAACTAGAACTGAACTAGAACTGAACTAGAACTGAACTAGAACTGAACTAGAACTGAACTAGAACTGAACTAGAACTGAACTAGAACTGAACTAGAACTGAACTAGAACTGAACTAGAACTGAACTAGAACTGAACTAGAACTGAACTAGAACTGAACTAGAACTGAACTAGAACTGAAATAGAACTGAAATAGAACTGAACTAGAACTGAACTAGAACTGAACTAGAACTGAACTAGAACTGAACTAGAACTGAACTAGAACTGAACTAGAACTGAACTAGAACTGAACTAGAACTGAACTAGAACTGAACTAGAACTGAACTAGAACTGAACTAGAACTGAACTAGAACTGAACTAGAACTGACTAGAACTGAACTAGAACTAACTAGAACTGAACTAGAACTGAACTAGAACTGAACTAGAACTGAACTAGAACTGAACTAGAACTGAACTAGAACTGAACTAGAACTGAAGTCTAGAAACTACTGAACTAGAACTGAACTAGAACTGAACTAGAACTGAACTAGAACTGACTAGAACTGAACTAGAAACTGAACTAGAACTGAACTAGAACTGAACTAGAACTGAACTAGAACTGAACTAGAACTGAACATAGACTGAACTAGAAACTGAACTAGAACTGAACTAGAACTGAAACTAGAACTGAACTAGAACTGAACTAGAACCTGAACTAGAACTGAACTAGAACTGACTATGAACTAGAACTAGAACTGAACTAGAACTGAACTAGAACTGAACTAGAACTGAACTAGAACTGAACTAGAACATGAACAGAGAAGTGAACTAGAAACTGAACTAGAACTGAACTAGAACTGAACTAGAACATGAACTAAGAACTGAACTACTGAACTGATAGAACTGAACTAGAACTGAACTAGAACTGAACTAGAACTGAACTAGAACTGAACTAGAACTGAACTAGAACTGAACTAGAACTGAACTAGAACTGAACTAGAACTGAACTAGAACTGAACTAGAACTGAACTAGAACAGAACTAGAACTGAACTAGAACTGAACTAGAACTGAACTAGAACTGAACTAGAACTGAACTAGAACTGAACTAGAACTGAATTAGAACTGAACTAGAACTGAACTAGAACTGAACTAGAACTAGAACTGAACTAGAACTGAACTAGAACTGAACTAGAACTGAACTAGAACTGAACTAGAACTGAACTAAAACTGAACTAGAACTGAACTAGAACTGAACTAGAACTCAACTAGAACTCAACTAGAACTCAACTAGAACTGAACTAGAACTGAACTAGAACTGAACTAGAACTGAACTAGAACTGAACTAGAACTGAACTAGAACTGAACTAGAACTGAACTAGAACTGAACTAGAACTGAAGAACTGAACTAGAACTGAACTAGAACTGAACTAGAACTGAACTAGAACTGAACTAGAACTGAACTAGAACTGAACTAGAACTGAACTAGAACTGAACTAGAACTGAATTAGCACTGAAATAGAATTGTTCAAATCACGACATCTGCATCATCTATTAAAAATGAAGAGTAGACGCATCTAGGGTATCAACGATTCGTGACGTTAGATGGTTACTGTTACCACAATATAACAGACCTTATAGTCGTCCACATTAGTGAATTAAGGAAAAAAATAATTTTAAAAATTCTTATTGATGCAAACTTAAAACATACTGTAAATGTTGATACAACCTCTTGGGTGCAATATTTATTTTCGCTACAGCTAAAAGCATACAACGAGAATTTAAATAACCTCTACTTATTAAATGGATCCCTATAGATTTGCTCCCAGCCTAAAAACAATTCTAGGCAACATACAATATCACACATAAATACTTTGCCACATTTTGATTTACTTCACTCACCTGGCGAACAGCTCATTTAACAGACGCACCAATTCCTCGGCCGTACATTGATCTGACAGACTTGTAAAACCGCAAATATCAGCGAATAAAATGCTAAAAATAAAATAAAAGCGAATAAATAATACTGATTTTATATTTATTAACTAAAATGTGTTTTTCATGTAGAAATAAATTACATACATAATCCCTGTTCAAAAGTCTCATTGAGGGAATCAAATGATAAAATATACATTTATAAATTTTGGAGTTTACCCACATGTAGGTAAACATATCGCTGCCTTTATGTAAAAGAGGTCTAACTGCAGTTTCAAATGATTATAAGAGTTGATATTATTTGATTATGCAAAATTTCCAGGATATTATTGGTGATATTGTAAAGATGAGATGTCAACTATGTAATATTTTTTAAAGAAAAGGAACTGATATAGTCCTTTTTAGATTTAACCATCAATATGTATATTTTTACACACACAATTACTCTTCTTTTATACAATTTATAAATACATATTTAATCGCTTTTAGTACATTTTAAAATAGATTTTTTATTGTACAACAACATTTTATCGTTAATGGGATTTTGGCCTCTAAGTTACATACTTCGAAATATGTTTGTGAATATAATTTATAAACAGCGATTTGAAGTGTGTATTTGTTATCCAATGCCATAAGCTTACAAGTAGTTATAAGTGTATTTAAAGCAGATTATTAAACTCATAATAAATGTTACTAATGAACGGTTTAAATGTGCTTAGAAACTTAAGTTAATCAAGGACTAAATAAAAAGAGAATAAATATATCGTGTAAATAGTTTTACGCTTTGTTTTTAATCTTTTACGAGAGTTTAAACTTTCAATTTCTGAAAGAAGTCGAAATGCTTTACGTGAACACCATAGGTTGAACGACTCACCAACCTCGCCCTTTGTGCTTCTTACACGCCGGAGGTAATTTTTGTACATGGTTCTTCCGGTCCATGTACAATCACTTCGATTAATCTCTGGCCATTGCTGCCCCGTTGCTTAACTTCCGAGATGCAAAAACATCACTTTCATTTACAACCACACAAATGGAAGCACCTTTATTGAGTCGGCGACAGCACCTAGAGACGTATTCGGTAGACCGAAACACGAATCCATCAAATAAGCTGAGGACTTGTTCTTGCTCAAAGAAAACACACTGTGGTAAATCTGGGAGCAACAGAGTAAACCCTGAACATACCCGGATAAGGAAAATTCAATGGTATCACTTGTATACCATCACCATTCAACTCAACATACTTCTCATTCATCCGACACACTCAGTGAGAAAAACATCCGAAACAGTCACTCTATGTATACGGTAGTTAAGGTCCGCATAGCCCTACATCCATCCCGTATCATATACGCTTAATATCAACTCATTTCCAACGTTTAGTCCCATAAACACTCCTTTGCGGGGATTTGTTGTCTCGGCAACAGCACCGAACATATCCTGAATTATAGACTTCCCGCTAATTTGGGTTTAAAAGACAGCCACCACGTGCACCCCGAAGGGACCTCTCCAATAACCCATAAAAGGCGAGGTCCGAAATTCTGGCATGCGGGCTACCGGTTTCCGTGGTACCAGATTATGTGGTTCTCTACTTTGACCCCATGTCAAATTATTCCAAAGAAAATACCAAGGATACATTTGATACATCGAGGTACTGGGATAGATTTTAAAAATTAAATCTTAAGATATCTTCAACAAAATATCGGTAACACCTTGTACTTACACAACTACTTACTTTTCAGTGATTACAACATACCGCCTGCATTACTTTTAAATATTGTTTTAATGACTTACATATAATCGGATATGTTATATTTGCACATTTTATTGAACGATCATCACGAAAATCGAAAGTATAATAGACTTATATAAGACCACGTTATGCCGATTTTTGTAGAGATACTAGAACATTCAACATAATTTCGGAGGCACGGTTGTATTGGAACTAGGCGAAATAATGGACCGATTTTAACCATTTTCAATAGGCTTCATCGAAAAAAGATTATGTGTCAAATTTCATCGAATTATCTCGAAAATTGCGACCTTTAGCGTACGCATAATGTTTGCATGGACACACAGATGGACAGACAGACGGACAGACAGACAGACAGACAGACAGACAGGCAGACGTACGTACGTACAGAAGGACGTAAAATTTTAACCATTTTCAATAGGATTCATCGAAAAAAAAGTATGTGTCAAATTTCATCGAATTATCTCGAAAATTGCGACCTTTAGCGTGCGCATAAGGTTTGCATGGTCCCACAGATGGACAGACAGACAGACGGACGTACAAAAGGACTTAGCAAAAGTAATTTTGAGCCGACTGGTATATTAAGGATGGTGTAGGACCAATATTTTTGGATGTTACAAACATCAGCATAAACCCATAATACCCTCTACACTATTGATATGGGTTTTAGGACAAGAGGTCATACCGGGAAATTCATTTATCAACGAATGTCCAATTAACGCATTGTCTCTTGACAAATATCCATATTCCTTTGGCCGCAGAATCGAACAAGATTGACAAAAGAATGTCATAAGAAACGATGCTCTAGTGTACATAATATACAAAATGTTTTGACAGTAAGACCTTTGAACTCGACATATTGTACTTAAAGTTATTGCAAAAGTTGCTGAAATGAGAAAGATTCGAAACAATACTGTATATTGTTTTATAGAGATAGCAAAATCCTCAAAAATTGTATAATACGAAAAGCAAATACGCCCTAAGGTTATAATGTTAAAATCGTTTATTTTACTGAGTTTTTCTAAAGAAAATTTTATAATTTACCACATGATTTCCTTTAAAATAGTCAAATTTCCTCAATACAGCTCTTAAAGTATCAACATTAAGTTAATTTAAATGTCGTAACTTAAAGCTTTTGCAAATCTTCACAAATAGCTGGAAATAGTTATATAAAGTCTTAAATTTTTACATGTCTGCTAATGACTGGTCTCTGGTAGCAGCTTTTTAAAATTGAAGAACACATGTTTAACTACAACAAGAAGAATCAGCGTTTTTTTGTTATTACTTAATTTTCAAACAAACCAAAGATGAAGTAAAAAAAGAGACCATGATATAAACATCCTTGTAGTTGTAGGTGTTTGATTTTGATTACAGGATAAAAACATGCACAGTCAGTCATTAGGTCTGTGAAGTAGCTAGTCATATAAAACTGCTGGGATCCTTTCAAATACACGTACATATAGAAGTACTCCCACATTTATAAAAATAACAAACATGCACGTAGCTTCATTTAAAAGTAATTTAATGCCAGCTCAAAAAAAAGGAAACACACGGATATGTATACACACGCATTTGAAAAAAAAATAATGTTAAGGTAAATGGATCATTATACATTATGTATCCTTAACAAGATACAAAATAGTGCCAACAACAACAACAGCAAGTTATTTCAACACACAATATTTAAAGGGAAAAAGCAAAAAAACAGCTCCTATTTTGAAATTCCTTATAAACTGAGAACATGGCTAAAGTTAAAGGCGAAGGAGCAGAGCACAAAAAAGTACAAAATTGCTAACAAGAAATTGTCATCAACAAGTTGTAAGTTAGTGAAAACAACCCCAAATGAGGGAAGAAGAAAAATAAATAAGAAAATGAAACTAAAAGACCATAAATTTGCAAAAAAAAAAAAAGTAAAAATTATGGCAACAAAATACGTTTCTCTCCGAAAAACAACAAATAATATTAAATCAACAACTAACAGGTGAAATGATAATAACAACAGCAAAGGAAATAAGAATTTTAAAGAAGAAAAAAAAAACCGAAATATTTCCAAAAATTTACCACAAAGCAGCTTATCATATTTTATTTAAGAGCTCAGGAAGTAGGTATTGAAAAAAACACACTATCATACATAAAGAGGATTCATTCATATGTATGTTTTGGGGGCGTTGAAATGTAGAGTTTATTGTGTAGGGGAAAAAATTATTATTTTTAATTTCAATATTTTTAAATGTTAATCTTTTTACTTTTTACTTTTACTTTATTCTTTTAATTTTACATCATACACAATCTCCCATCCCTGACGAACGTTAACTTTGGTTTTTAATATAAAACAGCTCGAAAGCATGTCTGATAGATTTATATACATATATTTGGATCCCGGAGGTATTTGAAGTTTTCAAAAGCTTAATTCCAACGGATATACAGACGGATGGACAAAGTTTAATAGACTCCGCTATCTGCAAGATTCCATCCAAAAACGTCTTTTCGAGAAAAATAGCCTCGAATGCTTAATTATATTTATTTTATGTATCTCTGAAATCACCGATCTTGTAGTAAATGAGCGATATAATAACTAAGTAGTTGGACTGGTTTTAATACAAGATCTCATACCTAGAGAGAAGGAAGAGTATATCAGAGAGAGCATTCTGCATCCATCGAAATATATAGTTGCCACATCGAGTGGATATTGCAGCACATTCTGGGAGCACTGATAGGAAAATCAGTGCTCTCTTCTGACAAATCTGTTGAATTTGGCACAGGATCCCTGAGATGTTCTCATCAGATTTCAGCACAAAATACAGAGCATTACCTTGGCGCCATGGATATTTAGCATTGTGTGTCGATTCAGCTGGTTGGTTGAGCTTCAGACACGCTCTCTTAGAGTTTTGGATCCATTCTCCTTCAGTATATGATGTCTGTGATGTTCTGATCAGATTTCTGCATATGGCTTTATATGTCGAATCGGCTGATTGGTTGAGCTTCACACACGCTCTCTTGCATCGTAATGATAATCATATAATGATACCAATTCTGACCACCCCACCCACAGGGCAGGCTTCCTTGATGACAGACCCTCATATTGGTGTAAAGAAGTGCTACCAGTACCTCTAGTCTACCGGGATTATAAACTGGTGATGTCAATTCACTCCTCGGTTAGTCCTTGGTATGATTAGCCATGGGGTCTAACCAGTGAACCACATAATCTGGTACTGCAGGTGGCCAGTTGCCCGCAGGACTTGTCCTGGCTGGTCTGTTGGTTGAGGTTCCCTCGGGATCCACGTAGTGGCTGTGTTTTAAACCCAAATTCACGGGAAGAGAAAGTTGCGGTTAAAAGACTGATGCACGGTGAAATCTATATTTCGGGATAAGTTCGGTGCTGTTGCCGAATGACAACAGATATCTAGAGTAAGTTTGTTGGATGATGTTCTCTATTGAGTGTGTCGAATGAATGAGAAGTGTGCTGGGTTTAATGGTGATGGATGAAATGTATCTTATACAAGTGATACCATTGAATCTTCCTTCCTTTTCCAGGTATATTCAGGGTAAACTCTGTTCATACCATATTTACCACAGTATATCACTGTCAGTAAGAACAAAGTCTCGTCTTATTTTATGGATTCGTATTTCGGTCTACCGGTTACGTCTCTAGGTGCTGTAAACATCACTTCCGTTGTAAACGGAAGTGATGTTTTTGCATCTCGAAAGTTAAGCAACGGGGCAGCAATGGTGAGAGATTGGATAGCTCAAGTACTTGAGCAAAGTGCACGTATACTGGACCGTAAATTCGTCACAAAAGCTCAACCAGTGGTTGAAAAAGACCACCAAGGAATAAGGCCAACACGGCAGGTGTTCACGTAAAACACTTCGACATTCGATACCAATATTGGATCCGATTTCTTTGATTTTCGAAGAATGCTGTTGCTTGCAAAATTTTTGAAATTTCTGCTTGAGTAGCACCCAATATTTTTGCAAACTATTGTTGAGTTTGACATTAATCTTCATGGAATAATACCTCATATTCTTACACTTCAAACTACGGCTGGCATATGCCTGGTCAAAACCACCGCTTCTGAACCGCATAAACATCTCTCTCACGTTAAAAAAATTCAAATTCAAAAAACACATCTTTTCGAATTTAGTTTCTCTTTTTCGAAAAAGCAATGACCAATATTATGTTAGAAGTGATTGCTTAAAGCAAACTTTAAAGAAACAACCTTTTCCCTCAACCAAATCTAATAAATGATAAATAAGTATTAAACCAGGACAAACATAAATGCAACACGTTAAAGGAAAGTATGTGTCTGTTTAATACGTATAAATACAACACACATAAATTCAATGCTACAAAAAACAATGTTCATACTTATGTATATGTTTCAAATGAGTTTCTTTGATTGAAATGAACATATAAAAAATTCAGGTAAATCTTTTTGGGAAAAACATAAATACAAAATGTATTTCAATGAATATTTACGAATGCCTAAGTCTACAATATGAAAGACTTTTATTTCAAAATCTAGATGTGTGTGAGCAATAAGACCGATAAGTTTAATATAAAACCAAGTACCTACTGAGTTTTTGTTTTTAGGTCTTTAAAACTTACTGAACTATAGTAAACTTAATACCAACAGCTTTAAAAAATCCTAAAATAATGCCATAGTTAATGAAGTATTTTAAAATGTATTCTCTGTTTGAAGTACACAACCCTAGAAATATGAAGTATACGAAAGATTTTATTAAATTTCCACTTGACTTATTTTTAAACGTCCTTTAAACTTAAGTTTAATTAGCTGCTGAACATGCTAATCTACCAAACATGCATACATACATGAGTATGTATGTACTTGTTTACTTATTGTTTATACAACCATTTATCATATTATTTAATAAATAATAAATGTTAATACATTGTCAGTTTGTTCATCTTAAATTTAAAGTTCATTTACCTTACATTCTCGTGCCTTTGTATATAGATCTTGTGAAATTGTGTATCACGCGGTTGTCCTGCGATATCATCTTTCATTTCCATGGCAACGTGTCGCGGTAAAACCGATAATAAAAGACGTTCCTGTTTAAAGTTGATTTTCATGTCACAAAAATAAATGTTTAAACATCATCAGCGTTACCGTCATCGTCATCATCATCATCATCAATATTAATAAGACGCCCATATCCAGCCATAGACATTGTAATAATTGTTTTATGGTTTAAACAAAATCGCAGATGTGTGGGGGGAATTTTCCAGACACGGTTTTATTTTATTTTTGGAGAAAAAATCATGGTAGAAGAGAATAAACAATAGATTTAATAATGAAATAATGTTAAATTATTAAATTTTTCAATTTGTTAATATCATTATTATTACACAGACTATTTATGTGAGTGATTATTGTTGTGTGTGTGATTTAAACTGTGGATAAAATGACTAAGGTTGAATGTAAAAATATTTAGCTTTCTGTTTCAGTTCCTTCAATGAATGAAACATCCGCATATCGGGATAAATAATGTAATAGACTTGACCGAGGAATATGACTAGACCTATAGACTAGAAACTATAGACTAGAAAATAGCTGACATTAGACTAACTATAGACTAGACTAATAGACTAGACTAATAGACTAGACTATAGACTAGACTATAGACTAGACCTATAGACCTAGACTAGACTAGACTAGACGAGACTATAGACTAACGACTATAGACTAGACTATAGACTAGACTATAGACTAGACTATAGACTAGACTATAGACTAGACTATAGACTAGACTATAGACTAGACTATAGACTAGACTATAGACTAGACTATAGACTAGACTATAGACTAGACTATAGACTAGACTATAGACTAGACTATAGACTAGACTATAGACTAGACTATAGACTAGACTATAGACTAGACTATAGACTAGACTATAGACTAGACTATAGACTAGACTATAGACTAGACTATAGACTAGACTATAGACTAGACTATAGACTAGACTATAGACTAGACTAGACTATAGACTAGACTAGACTAGACTAGACTATAGACTAGACTATAGACTAGACGACTATAGACTAGACTATAGACTAGACTATAGACTAGACTATAGACTAGACTATAGACTAGACTATAGACTAGACTATAGACTAGACTATAGACTAGACTATAGACTAGACTATAGACTAGACTATAGACTAGACTATAGACTAGACTAGACTATAGACTAGACTATAGACTAGACTATAGACTAGACTATAGACTAGACTATAGACTAGACTATAGACTAGACTATAGACTAGACTAGACTATGACTAGACTATAGACTAGACTATAGACTAGACTATAGACTAGACTATAGACTAGACTATAGACTAGACTATAGACTAGACTATAGACTAGACTATAGACTAGACTACAGACTAGACTACAGACTAGACTATAGACTAGACTATAGACTAGACTATAGACTAGACTATAGACTAGACTACAGACTAGACTATAGACTAGACTATAGACTAGACTATAGACTAGACTATAGACTAGACTATAGACTAGACTATAGACTAGACTATAGACTAGACTATAGACTAGACTATAGACTAGACTATAGACTACTATAGACTAGACTATAGACTAGACTATACTAGACTATAGACTAGACTATAGACTAGACTATAGACTAGACTATAGACTAGACTATAGACTAGACTATAGACTAGACTATAGACTAGACTATAGACTAGACTAGACTAGACTATAGACTAGACTATAGACTAGACTATAGACTAGACTATAGACTAGACTATAGACTAGACTATAGACTAGACTATACTAGACTAGACTAGACTATAGACTAGACTATAGACTAGACTATAGACTAGACTATAGAATAGACTATAGAATAGACTATAGACGACTATAGACTATAGACTAGACTATAGGCTAGACTATAGACTAGACTATAGACTAGACTATAGACTAGACTATAGACTAGACTATAGACTAGACTATAGACTAGACTATAGACTAGACTATAGACTAGACTATAGACTAGACTATAGACTAGACTATAGACTAGACTATAGACTAGACTATAGACTAGACTATAGACTAGACTATAGACTAGACTATAGACTAGACTATAGACTAGACTATAGACTAGACTACGACTAGACTATAGACTAGACTATAGACTAGACTAGACTAGACTATAGACTAGACTATAGACTAGACTATAGACTAGACTATAGACTAGACTATAGACTAGACTATAGACTAGACTACAGACTAGACTACAGACTAGACTATAGACTAGACTATACTAGACTATAGACTAGACTATAGACTAGACTATAGACTAGACTATAGACTAGACTATAGACTAGACTATAGACTAGACTATAGACTAGACTATAGACTAGACTATAGACTAGACTATAGACTAGACTATAGACTAGACTATAGAGACTAGACTATAGACTAGACTATAGACTAGACTATAGACTAGACTATAGACTAGACTATAGACTAGACTATAGACTAGACTATAGACTAGACTATAGACTAGACTATAGACTAGACTATAGACTAGACTATAGACTAGACTATAGACTAGACTATAGACTAGACTATAGACTAGACTATAGACTAGACTATAGACTAGACTATAGACTAGACTATAGACTAGACTATAGACTAGACTATAGACTAGACTATAGACTAGACTATAGACTAGACTATAGACTAGACTATAGACTAGACTATAGACTAGACTATAGACTAGACTATAGACTAGACTATAGACTAGACTATAGACTAGACTATAGACTAGACTATAGACTAGACTATAGACTAGACTATAGACTAGACTATAGACTATATAGACTAGACTATAGACTAGACTATAGACTAGACTATAGACTAGACTATAGACTAGACTATAGACTAGACTATAGACTAGACTATAGACTAGACTATAGACTAGACTATAGACTAGACTATAGACTAGACTATAGACTAGACTATAGACTAGACTATAGACTAGACTATAGACTAGACTATAGACTAGACTATAGACTAGACTATAGACTAGACTATAGACTAGACTATAGACTATACTATAGACTAGACTATAGACTAGACTATAGACTAGACTATAGACTAGACTATAGACTAGACTATAGACTAGACTATAGACTAGACTATAGACTAGACTATAGACTAGACTATAGACTAGACTATAGACTAGACTATAGACTAGACTATAGACTAGACTATAGACTTATAGACTATAGACTATAGACTAGACTATAGACTAGACTATAGACTAGACTATAGACTAGACTATAGACTAGACTAGACTATAGACTAGACTATAGACTAGACTAGACTATAGACTAGACTATAGACTAGACTATAGACTAGACTATAGACTAGACTATAGACTAGACTATAGACTAGACTATAGACTAGACTATAGACTAGACTATAGACTAGACTATAGACTAGACTATAGACTAGACTATAGACTAGACTATAGACTAGACTATAGACTAGACTATAGACTAGACTATAGACTAGACTATAGACTAGACTATAGACTAGACTATAGACTAGACTATAGACTAGACTATAGACTAGACTATAGACTAGACTATAGACTAGACTATAGACTAGACTATAGACTAGACTATAGACTAGACTATAGACTAGGACTATAGACTAGCTATAACTAGACTATAGACTAGACTATAGACTAGACTATAGACTAGACTATAGACTAGACTATAGACTAGACTATAGACTAGACATAGACTAGACTATAGACTAGACTATAGACTAGACTATAGACTAGACTATAGACTAGACTATAGACTAGACTATAGACTAGACTATAGACTAGACTATAGACTAGACTATAGACTGACTATAGACTAGACTATAGACTAGACTTAGACTAGACTATAGACTAGACTATAGACTAGGACTATAGACTAGACTATAGATTAGACTATAGACTAGACTAGACTAGACTAGACTAGACTAGACTATAGACTAGACTATACTATAGACTAGACTATAGACTAGACTATACTATAGACTAGCCTACTATAGACTTGCCTACTATAGACTAGACTACTATAGACTAGACTACTATAGACTAGACTACTATAGACTAGACTACTATAGACTAGACTACTATAGACTAGACTACTATAGACTACTATACTAGACTATAGACTAGACTATAGGCTAGACTATATACTAGAATATAGACTAGACTATAGATTATATGCCAGATTATCTTAGTTGACAAAGTTCTTTGACCAGTTTTGTTTCCCATAATAACCATTATTACCTTAATATATTTGTTCTATATATAGTTGCTGAAATGCCCACTTGTGAATAACCTACTTGTGTAACATAATGTCTATAAGAATAATTTTTTTTTATTTATTTATACAAAAAACTTTCTGTTTTTGATGTATTGTGCTGTTGATTATACGCAACAACATTGTTATTAGCTTTAGGCCATTATTGTGTAACATGTGATTTGGCAAAAAAATATACATTATTTTATTTTTACTTTCAATATTTTTTCATTTGATCTTTTTTGTCTCTTTTTTAGTCCCCCTTCTCATTCTACGATTACGTACTTCTTGTAAGTAGGAGTGTAAACCTACTTGACGTAACTTCAAATATAATTTGAGTTTGATTTATGTTGTTAGGAAATTCAATTATTTGATTGTATTTTCATATTAAAATATAAAAAAAGAAAACATAAATATGTATGTAACAATAAATTTATGGTATAAAAATAGAAAGAAATGTCTCTTTTTTGAGATTTGTAGCCACAAATTTTATTGAATGACTATTTTTCAGAAATAAAAGAATCATTGTAGGTAAGTGTATTTATTGGTAATAAAAAAGATGTGGGGGTATTAGGGACTTACGTTGTTATAGAATTGGAACTCTTAGGAAAGATATAATTACGGTTTTAAGATTTATTCATTGGTTTTAAAGTTTGAGGTGGAGAAAATTTGAAAAAAACTATAGTCTAGACTATAGTAGATACTATAGTCCAGAGTATATTTCAGATTAGAGTAAAGTCTAGACTACATTCTTGATTATAGTTCAGTTTAGTCTAGAATATAGTTCAGTATAGACTAGAGTCTATTCTATAGCTTAAGCTTAGACTATACTACAGATAATAATCTCATCTATAGTTTAGACTTAGGTCTAGTCTATAGTTTAGACTTTAATATAGTCTGCAGTATAGGCTATGCTATGGACTATAGTCTAGTCTACAGTTAAGTCTATAGTCTAATCTATAGTCTAGTCTATAGTCTAATCTATAGTCTTATCTACAGTCTAGTCTATAGTCTAGTCTATAGTCTAGTCTATAGTTTAGTCTATAGTCTAGTCTATTGTCTAGTCAATAGTCTAGTCTATAGTCTAGTCTAGTCTAGTATAGTCTAGTCTATAGTCTAGTCTATAGTCTAGTCTATAGTCTAGTCTATAGTCTAGTCTATAGTCTAGTCTATAGTCTAGTCTATAGTCTAGTCTATAGTCTAGTCTATAGTCTAGTCTATAGTCTAGTCTATAGTCTAGTCTATAGTCTAGTCTATAGTCTAGTCTATAGTCTAGTCTATAGTCTAGTCTATAGTCTAGTCTATAGTCTAGTCTATAGTCTAGTCTATAGTCTAGTCTATAGTCTAGTCTATAGTCTAGTCTATAGTCTAGTCTATAGTCTAGTCTATAGTCTAGTCTATAGTCTAGTCTATAGTCTAGTCTATAGTCTAGTCTATAGTCTAGTCTATAGTCTAGTCTATAGTCTAGTCTATAGTCTATAGTCTAGTCTCTATAGTCTAGTCTATAGTCTAGTCTATAGTCTAGTCTATAGTCTAGTCTATAGTCTAGTCTATAGTCTAGTCTATAGTCTAGTCTATAGTCTAGTCTATAGTCTAGTCTATAGTCTAGTCTATATTTTAGATAATAGTCTATTAAGTATATAGTTTAGACTATATTCTGGTCTGTAGTACTGACTCCAATATAGTCGTTAGTCTATTTTGTAGTACTGACTATAGTCTAGTCTTTAGTCTAGTCGTTAGTATAGATTTTAAGCTAAACTATATAGGCTATTCTATAGTTCAGACTGTATTCTAGTCTATAGTTTCGACTCATGACTATGGTAGAGTCTATAATATAGACTATAATCTAGTCTATAGATTAGGCTGTTCTATAGTGTAGTCCATAGTATATAGTTCAGACTATGGCCAATTCTATAGGTTAGATTATATTCTAGTCTATAGTCTACAGTCTGGCATATAGTACGAATATACTCTAGTCTATAGTCTAGTCTATAGTTTTCTCTATGGTATATGTAGACTTTAGTCTATATAGTTTAGGTTAAACTATTTGTAGTTAGTTCAGATTATATCCTCGTCTGCACTACAGTGGAGGCCTCAAACTAGACTATATTCAATAATACACACTGGGTGGAGTAATCACTGACCTTATGGCCATTAGTTAACTTTTCTTTGATTTTTCCACTAATACATGAATAAACCAAAGTGTGTGTAGTCTACATATATTTAAAACAGCAAAGTGTCCTTTCCCTAGAATAACAATTTGTAAATAAAATATTTTCTTAAATTTTTCTTAAAAACACATGAAAATTACAATTAAACTCATGACCAAATAGTAGGAAAACGCCTTAAATCCATAAAGAAAAACTTTTAAGAAAAACATAAAATAGCTTAAGTATTTTAAATTCGTATGCTTTCACTTTTTAACATTGACAAGGGTCTGTGTTTATTTTCAATTTAACCCTTAATAGCAAACGATAATATTCCCTACCGAAAAAGGGCGAAATATAAAATATTCAAAAGAAAAGTGAAAATAGGTCTGTGTTTGATATTTGTTTGTAAAGGGTGTGCCATATACAAGATTAAAATTTGACATTGCCATTTTTAAAGTAAAGATGTATCAATTGAAGTGGGAAATCTAAAAGCAGGTAGCTTAACATTAATCAAAAATGGAACAATTTCGTGAGCAACATAAACGTTTTAAATTTTGATTTTTTTTTTACATTTTGGGACACCCTTTATCTTAGTTACTCTTTGCGTAGGTTGTGATAAGTGACAGTAACAGATCTAAGTGAATTTATAAATAAGAAATGTATTAACAAAAATTGTTGCTAAATACAAACATTTATAAACGATATAAAATGTTTATTTAACCATTTTTTTATTCTTAAAGTAAAAGAAACAACAGGTTGCTAGAATATGATTGATGTAATGTGAAAGAATTTCTGAAAGAAAGGGCAATATTAACATTAAAATGTTTTGTTAATAGACAAAGACTACAACATAAGCGATATTATACAAATATTTGACTATTTTGGATATATCAAAATTACGTTTGACGTCTTTGACTCATTGAAGAAAAAATTGCGTCAAATATTTGACATAACAAATAATGAAGATGATTCAGGGGAAATTTCGAAGCAGGGAAATATATTACTTATTTCAGGTCAAAAAGAGATAATTTTATATTTTTGTTATATCCTTTGGAATCTGTGGAATCCTATCCATATTCAAAACACAACAACTTTTCCATTTAAGGTAAATGATGGTTAATGAAAATATAAAATCGTTTGATATAAAATAAGCACTAGTACTTATTTTTCAAGCACTGTTTTAACCCAGTGAACTTATCTAATTTTTAAAGAAGTAAATATATAACAAAAAAATAAACACAATACCTAGGAAAACTCACAAACCCACACACACAGACAGCATATTATTTAAACAAAAAACAAATATTTGTTGTTTACAAAAAGCCATTTTAAATGATTAAGCATGAAATGAAGTAAAAAACAATACAATAAAACCACTTGTAATCTTTTGTTTTCCTCTCTAGTAAAAAAAACTGAAGGAAAAACAGCCGAAAGAAAAATTTTACTGCAATGAATAGACAAGGAAAATATGAATACAGAGAAATAAACAAAGTCGAGTCATTTGGGTTTATATATATACATTTATATATACTAGGAGTAAGGGTGTTAAACAAACATAGTTGAACAAAAGGAACAAAAAAACAATAAAAACCAACAAAAAAGAACAAATTTAACAAAGCTTCAAGAGATGGGAAAATCGAGAAAGGTGTGATGCACAACAACAGAAATAATAAAAAATTCAATTGAAGATGACTTATGCAAATATTATATGAATGTATAAGTGAGAGTGTGATAAAAGAAAACCTACAAAAACTCAATTACAATTTATGCACTATGCAGGATTTACACTTATACGTAGGCGGAGCAGAGATGAAACATCAGCACAATTATACTTTTTTCCGTAGTTTTCGACATCAGCAGTAATAAAAACTTTTTCTATATATTTAGTTAATAGCTAGATAATAGTATGTAGACTAGTCTGTCTGTAGACCAGTCTATTAAAAATTTATAGGGTTATTTATGGATTTTTAAAAAATTAGGCAATAGCAAAGTCCATCTATTAATCTGTAGTCTAGTGTATAGACTAGTCTATAGTCTAGTCTATAGTCTAGTCTATAGTCTAGTCTATAGTCTAGTCTATAGTCTAGTCTATAGTCTAGTCTATAGTCTAGTCTATAGTCTAGTCTATAGTCTAGTCTATAGTCTAGTCTATAGTCTAGTCTATAGTCTAGTCTATAGTCTAGTCTATAGTCTAGTCTATAGTCTAGTCTATAGTCTAGTCTATAGTCTAGTCTATAGTCTAGTCTATAGTCTAGTCTATAGTCTAGTCTATAGTCTAGTCTATAGTCTAGTCTATAGTCTAGTCTATAGTCTAGTCTATAGTCTAGTCTATAGTCTAGTCTATAGTCTAGTCTATAGTCTAGTCTATAGTCTAGTCTATAGTCTAGTCTATAGTCTAGTCTATAGTCTAGTCTATAGTCTAGTCTATAGTCTAGTCTATAGTCTAGTCTATCTATAGTCTAGTCTATAGTCTAGTCTATAGTCTAGTCTATAGTCTAGTCTATAGTCTAGTCTATAGTCTAGTCTATAGTCTAGTCTATAGTCTAGTCTATAGTCTAGTCTATAGTCTAGTCTATAGTCTAGTCTATAGTCTAGTCTATAGTCTAGTCTATAGTCTAGTCTATAGTCTAGTCTATAGTCTAGTCTATAGTCTAGTCTATAGTCTAGTCTATAGTCTAGTCTATAGTCTAGTCTAGTCTAGTCTATAGTCTAGTCTAGTCTAGTCTATAGTCTAGTCTATAGTCTAGTCTATAGTCTAGTCTATAGTCTAGTCTATAGTCTAGTCTAGTCTAGTCTATAGTCTAGTCTATCTAGTCTATAGTCTAGTCTATAGTCTAGTCTTTAGTCTAGTCTATAGTGTAGTCTTTAGTCTAGTCTATAGTGTATTCTTTAGTCTAGCTTTTAGTCTAGTATTTATATAAATTGCTAAAAATTTAGAACACGCTAAAAGTTTATTGTAAACGATCATATAAAAAGTACTTTTCAGTTTAAAAAAGTACTATTTTTGGTGAAAGTTAGAAGTTTTCTAGATGTTAAATTTGCAAGCCTGTTAAACCAGAGATGGAAAAAAATAATATGAAAAGCCTAAAGAAAAAGGTATTAGTTTAAATTTTCCAACTCTGTAACACCGAATATATTTGTGAAACATTTCTATGTTACCTTGTCTAATTTATTATTAAAGTAAATGTTTTTATTGTTTACCTTTTTACCAACTCATAAACATAATCACACACACCCATACAACATACATACCTGTTGCTGATTTTCACGTTGCGTACGCAAACGAGCCTCTATACATTGACGTGTCTCAATGAAAGCTTTACGTTGTGCCTTCTCTTTGGGCCAGTGCGTATAAATGCCGGTCAGATTGGATAAAAATAAAGCCATTAACGAGCTAAATAACTACAAAAACAACAACAAGAAAAGAAAAAATATATAATGAATAAAAGAAAAACAAATAAAAAGTAAAATACATAAAGACAGAGACGTAACAAAAAGGAAACAATGTTATTATTGTCTGTCATAAGAATTGTAATAAAATTTTATTTTTATTTCAAATTGAATTGTTTTTGTAGTTCTTAGCTATATTTGTTTTAGTTATTTTATTTATATATTTATAGTAAATAAACTTAATAAGCATAAAGTTTTATGGATATTTTAGGTAAAATGAGTACTCTAAAAGTTTACTACATTACAGCAACAATATTAAAAATTTTTTAGGTTAGGGTATAGTTAAAATGTCCTAGGGAAAGTGCATTAAAAGTTTTGTAGTGTTTAGTTTTAATTTAACAAATATTAAATTTTTATTGTTTTTGTTAAATAAAAATATGGTAACAGGTGTTGTTATGGCTAGTTTTTCTCTGGGGATAAAGTTTTAGTTGGTAGTCATTAGGGCAGGAGAATTGTTAGTTTTTGTGAGAATAAAAGAGGCCTAGTAAGTATCAGAAAGTCGGAATCATAATTACGTTTTGTATTTCGCACATCTATATACCTAAGAAATTTGCAGTAAAAACCTTTGAACCTAACTCATGCTTTATAAAAAGTGACAGCTTATCTACCACATTATCTTCCACTTTTGTCCAGCAATAGATTTATTTATAGCGCTCTGTTTTTAATTTATAACACCAAAGTGTCTTCTTAACAGATGCGCCAAAAAGGACTCAACTCATTAAAGTCACACTCTGCGTTTAACATATTAAATGAAAATTAAATACAAAGTAATGAAAATTAATTATATTCAGCCTTGACAAGGGTTTTTTTCTTATCATGGCAGAATAAGTTAAAAGAAAATGTATAAATTTTAAAGTTTTTAACAGATTTAAAGTACAAAAGTTACATATAAACTTTAAAATTTTTAATTTATAACAATTTTAACTATGACATAAAATCATCCCTCTAAATTACAACAGAAAAACTGTCAACAGCTTTAAATAGTTAAAAGTAAAAAGTTTTTATGTTGATTTAACAGCAAAAAAAAAGAAAAAAAAACTTTTTTCTGTTTTAAATCAAAAACAAATATTTACATGAGAAATCTCTCCTGTTACTCTAGCAGCTTCAACAAATAAATGTAAAATAAACATAAATAAACAAAAAAAGCAAATTAAATATTACAATTCCCACTAGTTTTTTTTTCGTTCTTCAACCTACAACTTTTTTCTCTTTTTTTGTTATTTACTTAAAACAAATATTTCTATAATGTACCGCCCCGCCTCCTACTAATGCTGTAGCAATTTGTAGATATTTTCTTCATTATTTCATTTATAGTAGTGGTACTTGTCTTTGTCCTGTTGTAACTTGCTGTCTGTATAAATATTGTTCAACTTACCTCTTGCCAATGGTAGGTGTCCTCAACATAACGCAAACTGTATAGATTTGTGTTGCGGATAGTATGATGCCACCAACTAATGATTCCCGTAAGCCGTAGTGGCACATGGTGTAAGTCATGTAGATGAAATAACACTGCATACAGTTCCATTGAATGATTTGCTATGGAGGTTGGAGGGAAATTATATTAATGAATGAATTTATAAGTTCCTAAGGAAAACTTTAAAGAATTTAATTGGGAGATGCAACCCAGCAAAAAATATTATGGGTTTGAAAGCAATTCATTCAACTAAGCAATTCATTTCTTGTAACTAAATAACTACTACTGAACTAACTAACTACTAACCTAACTAACTAACTACTAACTAACTAACCTAACATAACTAACTAATACTACGAACTAACTACGAACTAACTAACTACTAACTAACTAAACTAACTAACTACTAACTAACTAACAACTAACTAAACTAAACTAACTGAACTAACTAACTAACTAACTACTAATCTAACTATACGAACTAACTAAACGAACTAACTAATCACTAACTAACGAACTAACTACTAACTACTATAACTCTACGAACTAACTAACTAACTAACCTAACTAACTAACTAACTAACTACTAACTAACTAACTAATACATAACTACTAACTAACTAACTAACTAACTAACTAACTAACTACTAGACAGACTACGACAGACAGACGAATATTGCTAAATAGACTCAGACAGTTATTCTGACCTATTCGCATACCAATCGGACCAATATTTTGGTGTTGAATGCCTACGGCTTATGTTAAAAATTGACGGCAATGTAATCGTTCAAGATAGCTTATCGATACTTTTAGCCTCAAATATACTTCTGAATAAAAAACAAATTCTCTGTACGATAACTTACTAACTGTAGTTATTTGCAAATTATAATAATGAACCTAAGTGTCTATCCTTTTTTAAACGGAATATTTCAGAATCACCAAAAAAAAACCATTATCATTACAACATTCCCACACACTAACGCATTATTTATTAATATGGCGCCATATTGCAGCATTTATTATATTCTTAAGGATTTATCTCGCGCTCTTATTTTTGTAAAACCAAAATCGCAATTTCTTTTCACGAGCACAGATTTACTAACAAACTAAGTGCAAATATTTTATATGAATTTTTTTTCTTGTTTGCATTTTTAACAGACATTTCGTTTAATGTTTTATTCCATTTTTGTAATCGTAAATTTACTTACCTTGGCAATGTTGCATATCCCACAGCTATTGTATTGCCACAAATGTGCCAACAATGACATAAGATACCAACACTAAAATATCTCATTCATGGCGGGTTTTGCCAAAATGCACAACAAAACTGTAAAAGAGATAAGATAAGATGAGATGCTAAGGGAAAATATCATACAATAAATAATGAAGTAATTAAAATATGAAGAAGGCAAATAAGTAAATAAATAAAGATGACGGAGAAAAAATAAAAACAAGTACTTATTTACTCGTATGAGTGACTTTATATATCAGTTCGGAGGATATTTTCAAACTTTAGTTAAAAGTATTACTGTTAGCCCAAAAATTGCTATTACACGAGAGTCTATTAGAAAGAAAGGAAAAATATACTTCATTTGCTGTGCATACATGTCTTATGCCCATCACTGCTTTTTATATGTGAAAAAAACGAAGACCAGTGTTAGGGATTCGGAGCAAAACGTTAAATAAACATAATTGTATTATGCTAATGGCAAACAAAATATAAGATTATGATTATTTTTTATTACTTTTATCATAATTTTCATATTTATTTGCCAAAAATATAAAACGGACAAATATACAGAAAAAATGACAAACAGAAATAAATAAACATAAATAGACATAAATATTTTAGCCAGTGTAGTTCTCTTAATATCCGGTGATACAGATATTTGTTTAAGCTGAATCTAAATATAGTGTCTCTATTCTAATTCATAAATAAATTTTATTTTATAAACGACTTATAAATCAAATTTTGTATAGTAATTTTGTATTATAAAGCTTCTATAAAAAAAATTTTGTTTCTGGGTGGCTAGTATCTGGAGTGTCTAGTCTATATATATATGTAGTCTAGTCAATAGTCTAGTCTATAGTCTAGTCAATAGTCTAGTCTATAGTCTAGTCTATAGTCTAGTCTATAGTCTAGTCTATAGTCTAGTCTATAGTCTAGTCTATAGTCTAGTCTATAGTCTAGTCTATAGTCTAGTCTATAGTCTAGTCTATAGTCTAGTCTATAGTCGTCTATAGTCTAGTCTATAGTCTAGTCTATAGTCTAGTCTATAGTCTAGTCTATAGTCTAGTCTATAGTCTAGTCTATAGTCTAGTCTATAGTCTAGTCTATAGTCTAGTCTATAGTCTAGTCTATAGTCTAGTCTATAGTCTAGTCTATAGTCTAGTCTATAGTCTAGTCTATAGTCTAGTCTATAGTCTATAGTCTAGTCTATAGTCTAGTCTATAGTATAGTCTAGTCTAGTCTATAGTATAGTCTATAGTCTAGTCTATAGTCTAGTCTATAGTCTAGTCTATAGTCTAGTCTATAGACTAGTCTATAGTCTAGTTTATAGTCTATAGACTAGACTATATAGTCCAGTTTCATTCGTAACGTGTTGCTCTGGCTTAGTTTTGTGTTTTTATAAACAAGCAAGTACAAGAACAAAATTTACCATGCGATTCTGTGCGTTGTTGTTGGTTGTTTACTATTTGTCTCTCAGCATGCACCTTTATTTAAGAACCGATTTTGCTGATTTTAAATAGGCAACTTCTCGAAAGCATGTTGAAGATTTGTGTCCCAAACATACAGACAGATAGACAAACAATCAGACATGGAGACAGACGGACAGAGAAATGTTGTTATTAAAATTGGCTTTCTTGTGTTATTTTTTACATTTTAAAAAAATCCAATACTTTTGGAAGTTTTTTCTAATGATGGGATCTTAATAATTTCCAGTTTATTTTTCCTAACC